AAGCCAACGTCCCGCCGTCGCCAAGAGCATTCCTGCAGAGCACCGTGCAAGTACTTATGCGTGTTTGTGCTGGAGGAGCAGAAAAAAGGAGGAGGAGCACAGGGAGGCACATCAACACGGCAAGAGGCACAGCTGGATGGCAGCGATACATGCGGTGCAGCCTCAACAATCACACACGGTGGCAGCACACACACCCATCGAATAAAAAGAAAACAGAACAAAAAATCTTAAAAACACGGCGGCAGGGTGTGGCTGTGTGTGTGGCGCTGCGGGTGTCTGCCCGCCCTGGCCGCATAAAAACAAAACAAGAGGGGAAGAAATGTGTGCTCCGCCCCACAGGCCCTCGTCGCACGCCCACACGTCACGGCTCCCTCAGCGCGCCGTTCGTCGCGGCCCCTCCTCATGCGTGCAGCAGGCGAGGCGCACAGGGCCGTCGTCATGAGCGTGTCGGTGGGTGTGCGAGTGGAGCAGTTGGGCGGAAACACACGGCACCCCTCACAGGAAGAGTGCGGAAGAAACAATTAAAAGGGGGAAGAGTCGAAAAGAAAAACGTCCACAGTGATTGCCCCAAAAGCAAAAAAAGAGGGATGGGGGATTAGAAATTTAAAACGCACAAATTAATTTTAAAAAAGTAGCAAAAAATTTCTAAGCAAACAGATAAAAAAATTAAATTTACAAAAAAACAATGAAAAACAAAAAGTGAAAAAAGCCGAAGCGTGGGACGACCAGCGCACACACACTCTCATTGCTCCCGTAAAGCAAAACACACACACAGAGGGAGAGAGAGAGAGGTCGCCCACTCAATGCAATAAAAACAAAACAGAAACAGTTACGGTGCTCCGCCCATGCAGCCAGGCAGGACGGCAGCGGTGCGTGTCGTGCAAAAGAGAGCACCAACGGGCATGCATGGGTGTGCATGCATATATACAATGGGTACATTATTGTGTGTGCCTCGTGGGGTGAGGTGAGGGCGAGAGTCCATGCAAGGGGACACACACACAGAGAGAGGAGGACGAGTGTGTGTGCGGGCGGTGCACGGCTCTCTCTCCCTCACTCTCACGCGGCCACCACCGCAGCAGCAGCCGCACACGCAACAGCAAGAAGAAGAAGCAAAAGAGGGGAGGTGGTGTGGGAGGCCGCGGTGCTGCCGTCGGTGTCGGCAGGCGTCGTCGTTTCATTTCTCTTGATGATGGTGACATTTTCTGTTGAGGTGTCTTCTCCTGCTTGAAGTTCCGTTGTTGTTGGTGATGGTTCAGCGGATGGTGGTCGTGGAGTTGTTTGTGTTACTGGTGGGTTGCTGGTGGTAGAAGATAGGCTTGTGGTGGCTTTCAGACCGACGTTCCTTCTCCTTCTTCTTTTCAACTGCATCCCCACTATCATCTGGACTTTTTGCGGCTTCTTCTGAAGTAGAGAAGCCCTGTTTTGCTTTGGATTCTGATCTCTCCTTTGGCTGCTCGTTGGGCAATGCGGTTCCAAGAGACATTGTTTCCGACTGTAGACCCTTTTCTGAAGGTTGCGTGCTCTGAACAAGTGGGGCATCGAGGGCAGAGGATGATGAAATGCCAGCCGTAGAAAGAGGAGAAACTGAAGAGTCACCTCGAGAACTGCCACTGGGTCGAGTTCCATCAGATTCTGGTGATGGTGGCGGTCTTATTGCTTGACCCGCCTGTCCTGCATGTTTTGCTGCTGGATCTTCACTGGTCAACATTTTGTCTGTTGGTGTTAGAGACGGGCTCCTTTCGTTTTCTTTTGGGCCATCGCTTTCCTGCGTTTCATCTGAATGATCTTTTGGTTGTTCTTCGCCATCACTTCTTGTTTCTTCATCTCCCAACTTCTTTGCTTCTACTTTACCTTCTTTTTCTGCCGCCCCACCATTATCTCTTGGTGTTTGTTTGACAGAAGTTTTTTGAGGGCTGACCTTCGTTAAGTCTCGCGCATCTGACGGTTCTTCTGAGGTGTTCAACACTCCACCGACTGGCTTTCGTACATCCAGTCCTTCTTCATGGCCACCCTTAGATGCAGACTGTGAAACCCTCGATGGTTCACCTTATACTTCAGTAACAACATCACCCTCCGCCTCCACCGCAGCACCGCACCACAGCACGCAGAGGGCACACACCAGCAGCACACGGCCAGTCATCATCATCGCCATCACTCCTGTCACTTGCGTGCAGCCTTCAGCACAAACTAACAACACGTCAACGCAGAGTGAAAGCAAAAGGAGAAATACAAGGCCGCCGCACGCACAGTCACAAATGACACTGCACACACCATGAGGCAGTTGGAATCAGTACAATTGCAGAACTCACACAACGCCCTGCAAACCAGAAGTTAAAAAGCAGTAAAAAAGAACAACAACAGATTTGAGATTCCGGTACGACTCCCAAAAAGTTAAAGAAGAACGATCAGGCACGTCTTTTATTGTATTTGCCAGGCAGCAAAATGTGAACGACCACTGGTTTGTGTATAATTAATGCATGGACTGAATAAAGCAAAAAAAGATCGTACTGTTCCGTGAGCCCACACAAAACACTCTTCACACTTCATGCGGCATCCGGCCTGTTCCTCCAATCCTCCTCTTGTGCAGTCCGTGGGACGCACAGCAATGGGGCCGGCACCGCGTGTGGGCAAGAGAAGGAAACAAAAGGTAGAAGCACTTCACTCATGAAAAAGTACTGCAAACGAGCATTGAGGAAAAACACAGGGATGCTGATTATTCCAATAGGGCAAAAGCAGCAAAAATAAATAAATAAACGAAAATAAAAAAGCTTAAATTATTGACAAAACTCAGTGGTTAATGCTGGCAAGCTGCACATTTATTGCTCCACGAAAAGCCGCAATTCCACCCTCCCTCACACCTCAGCAGAGCGCTGCAGTGCCTCAGAGCCCCAGAAGCAGAAGCAACAACACCCGAGACACACACCCATGCACGGTGCTGTCACCAATTTCGGCCATGGCCAACAAATCCTTGAAATGCCCGTGCTCACAAGAACCGTTGCTCACAAGTGATGCTGCGTTGTGCTCCGATGGGATCTCTGGTTTCCCAGACGTTGTGTGCAAATAATCCTGTGCGGCATCACCGCCACCCGACAAGTTATCACTCGTTCAACATTTGCTAGGGCTGTGCTGGGCTCAGGCGTGGCTGTTGTACCATCCAAGGGCATTAGATCACCGTTGCTGAGTGAATCGGGGCCGCAGCCCGTGCCCACGGAGGTGCGGGCATACGTGTCCTATTCGTGCTCAACGTCTTGTTAGTCGCTGGCAACTGTGTTGGCGGTGGACGGCTCGTTGCCTCTCGCTGAGCATGCGTCTGGATCCGCCGCGCTGCCACTTTCCTCCCCGGACAGCCGCGCTCCCTGTGGGGCCTCACCGCGCAGCTGCTGGCAGCCTTGCATGCTCCTGCCGAGCGGAGTGTCCTGCCACTGAGCATGGCCACAGACAATTCCCAGTGCCCCGCCTGGCAGCATCCCAATCGCCCACACGAGTTCCTGCTGCCACAGACTCCCTCTCGGCGATGGAGGCGCTCCGCCTTGGCTCGCTGGCGGTGCACGACGACGTCACTGAAGAGATTTGCACCATGACGCTTTCACTGGCGGATAGAGGTCACACAGATGGCTCCACATTTTCCCCTGGCACTGCGGAATCCCACGCAATGTGACGGCGGACGCTGATGCCGTCATGGCCCGATCCCTCTCGCAGGACCGCGTCAATGCCTGGCACGTGGGCCTCCTCACCGCAGTCAGGCGGCCGTACTGAAAGAAATTCCGGGAGGAAAAGGAAGGCGCGCACACCGCGTGACAGGCGCCTGTCGGTGTGGTGAGGACTCTATTCCTGGTGTGACCCGAAAATCGTGCCCGAGTGGCGGATCCCCGCGGAGGCGCGATGCGACTCCTGCCCGCTCTTCGACAGGCCCGCGCGCCCTGCGGATCACAAGGAACTCCCTGTGTCGGTGGTGCTGTCCTTATCTTCACTGCGGTGAACCGCCCGCCTCTGCCTCCGCCGGAACCTCTTCCCGAGAAAAACTCCGCAACTCCTTGCCGACCAGCGAGCGGCGGATTGACATTCTCCTGCCCAATCTGCGGCGGAGTGCGCCCGTTTGTCCGCAGCGTGACGGCACATGCCCGACGTGCTCGGCCTGGCGTTCCAATGGTTTGACAGGCCTCAAATGCGGATGCCGCAATGGCGCCACCGTTTTCTTAGCAGGCACCTCGTGCGCTGGTCGCCACCGAAGTTGCCAAGCATGCCAGCAGGCAAGACACGCAGGAAGCACAAACGCGGGCACTCGAGATGGACCAGGCTCTTCCGCCACCGCCTCATCACAGACGCCACGCGCTGTTGATTCCCCGACGGACCACGGGGAACTCCGCTTCATCCAATTTGGTAACGCCCTGTCATTGATAATATGGACTGCGACTGGTTGGGACTGCCCCAGCGTGCGCGACGGCCCGTTTGCGACGGCATACTTGCCACATTTGTACGGACGGCCCTTGCGCTACCCACTCGTTATTGTAGCAGCATACAACCAAAACACGATGAAAATTTGTTTTGTGATAAATATTTTCTGCACTTCCCGTGGACCAACAATCCACGTGGTGTGCGGGGATATCCCTTTTTGTATTGTTACTTTGCCTTTGTGATGCTGTGTGCGCTGCACCTCCTCTTGTGTGTGTGCGTACCCTCCGTGAGGGGTGCCGACACGACGGACCGCTCTCGCCGTGTGTGCATGCGGTGGAGCCTTGTGTGCCGCTCCTGTTTGCTTCTCCCTCTTCCATCAGTGTGTTGGTGTTGCGGCAGGGCTGTGTGTGTGTGTGCCTGCTGCCGTGGATTGGAGTGTGTGTCGTGCGTGGTGTGCGGCGTACGGTGCATGCCTGGCTGCTGCCCTCTCCTCATGTGGTGTGCCCTCTGTGTGTGTCTGCCGCACCTCTCGTCTCCCCTGTTGCTCTCCATGTCCCTCACTGTGCAGATCAGCCCCACACCACTGAACGACCACACTCACGACGATGACGTGCCGTCTGCTGTGCGCCCTGTTGGTGCTCGCCCTTTGCTGCCGCCCGTCCGTTTGCGCGACAAAGAGTAGTGGAGATCAAGATAAGGGTAGCTCCAGTTTACCCCCTGGTAAGCCACAGGGAGCAATTGTTCCGGATTCAGCGAACTCGAGAGGCGGCACGCCTGAGATTACGGGGATCAATGCGGCGCAGCCCGATGGTACGTCTGGTTTGGGAGGGGCAGCAGATGCGGTGGACCTTGATGGACAGGAACCAATTAAGGAGTCCAATGCGCCATACTCAGCAGACCCGAATGAAAAGGTACAGGAAACGGCAACGATTTCCGAGACCGGTGGGACAAGGCCCCCAAATCAGCCCACTAATGGAAAGACAAAAAGTGAAAATTCCACATCACAAGGATCAAGTGCGGGAACCGTTGTGCCAGAAACTTCAGGAAAAGCAACTCCGGGGCCTATTACAAAAGAGGGAGCAGGTGGGTCCGCTAACCCAGCTGCAGCATCAATTTCCGTGACCGCTTCTGTATCGGCACAAAGTCAGAAGGAAAATGCGCCAACAACAACAACAACGACTACGACAAAAGCACCAACCACGACAACTACCACCACTACGACTACAGAGGCACCAAGCACGACGACGACCCGCGCACCGTCACGTCTTCACGAAATCGACGGCAGCCTCAGCAGCTCTGCGTGGGTGTGTGCCCCGCTGCTGCTCGCCGCATCCGCGCTGGCGTACACCACTGTGGGCTGAAGAATTGTATGCGGGCTGTGCGTACCAGCACTCAACCGCGGGGATTTGTGCGCGTGTGTTGTTGTCCGACGCAATAAATAATAGAAAATAATGATTGTGTTTTGCTTCAGTTACTTCTGCTGCTTTGCTTTGTGCTCCACGTTGCTGCTTCCGTCAACTTGAACGCATCCCAGACACACTCATATGCATTGCACGCACACATCTGTTTGCGTGGAATCACATTTGAGGATGGGTGCATGCGCACCAGAGCCATACTGTGCAGCCCTTTGTTTTTTGTGTGTTTTTACATTTTTTGCTTCATTGCTGTTTGTTTACCCGTGTTTTGTTTTTAATTGCGTCGTGTGTTTTCTGTTTACTTGCTGCGGGGCGTTGTGTGTTTTTGCCCTTTCACCGATTCCAACTGCCTCATGGTGTGTGCGCTGTTTCTGGGCTGCTGCCATCATTTCTTATTCTGCGGCGGCTGTGCGTGGTGTAGCGGCCTTGTATTTCTTCCTTTCACTCTGCGTTGACGGGGAGTCAGTTTGTGTTGAAGGCTACACGCAAGTGACAGGAGTGATGGCGATGATGATGGCTGGCCGTGTGCTGCTGGTGTGTGCCCTCTGCGTGCTGTGGTGCGGTGCCGGCGGTAGGTGTGACGAAGGGGAGACGGCAGTTCGTGGTGTTCCACCCGATGTTTCTGCGAGTGGTACTGAAGGCGAGCTGGGAGGAACAAAAAATGCGGGGCCAGCGCCAGACTCACAAATACAATCATCAGGAGAAGAGCAACAACACAAATCTCGGGAAGGACGTCCCACACTCCCAGAAGGATCTTTGGAAGAAGAAGTGGAAGAAGAAACGGTTGAAAATTTGGATGAAGTAACGGAACGTGGTGAAGAAGGACAACGCGGAGATGGGCAAGATGCAAATGAGCCGGATGGAAGTCAGACAAGTGAAGTTTTAACAAAACAGAAGGAAACCCTACCACCATCAACGCCAGCAGCTCCAGCAGGAGAAGGAAACCAAAGCGCATCACCACAGGCACAATCTGTTGACAGTCATGTTGGTGGCAGGACTGATAGAATTGAAGATTCCATCTTGGGGGCTCCTTCTTCTGGGGTTGCTCTACAGCACGCCGGCGATGCGTCTACCAATCAGAAGAATAATTCTTTGGAAACGGGCAAACATACAGAAAAAACAATAACTGGAGGTCCCGTCCCGTTCCAGACGAAGACAACGAAGGAGCCAATAAACGATGCAGAAATCCATTCCGTCACTGGAGAAGATACGGCATCCAACCAAGTTGTTAGTAGAGGTACAGCTGAATACGAGGCACAGCAGAGAGCATTGGCGACGCAAGACCGTTCAAGCGTGTCATTCACCGAAAGCGAAACAAAATGGCAAACAACGCCACACGAAGCGCCAGGGACACAAGTACCGCCATCAGCAACAGAACCATCGTCAAGAGAAGGACAACCACCAACAGCAAAAACAGACTCACAGACACCAAATGCTCAAGAGCATAAAGAGATACTGTTACCAAAAAAAGAGTACAATGCACCGGAACGCCCTTCAGAGGATGTTGTGGCAGAGCAACAAGGTCAAGCCACAGCCACAGAGAATTCGACGGAGAATGCACCTGCCACCAATCAAGCAGAAACAACAGCATCTTCCAACTCTACAAGTGGCAGTGGTGAAGCCCGGATTATGGCGGATGAGAATACTGCCAATGCTCAGCGGCCCAACCCGAATGAATCACATGATGATCTTGAAGGTAGTGATGCCCACCCAGCTCCCACGGCCAGTGAGGCAGCACCCCAATCAACAGGTACTGCCAACGCAAATGATACGACGAAGCCTGGCGACAGTGACGGAAGCACCGCGGTCTCCCACACCGCCTCCCCTCTTTTGCTTCTTCTTGTTGTTGCGTGTGCGGCTGCTGCTGCGGTGGTGGCCGCGTGAGAGTGAGGGAGAGAGAGCCATGCACCGCCCGCACACACACTCTTCCTTCTCTCTGTGTGTGTGTCCCCTTGCATGGACTCTCGCCCTCACCTCACCCCACGAGGCACACACATAATGTGCCCATTGTATATATGCATGCACACCCATGCAGGCCCGTTGGTGCTCTCTTTTGCACGACACGCACCGCTGCCGTCCTGCCTGGCTGCATGGGCGGAGCACCGTAACTGTTTCTGTTTTGTTTTTATTGCATTGAGTGGGCGACCTCTCTCTCTCTCCCTCTGTGTGTGTGTTTTGCTTTACGGGAGTAATGAGAGTGTGTGTGCGCTGGTCGTCCCACGCTTCGGCTTTTTGTTTTGTTTTCCTTTTTGATTTTGTGGTTGAGTGCACCCATTCCGCGGCTGCGTGTGTGTGTGTGTGTGTGATGATATGAGTAATTTGCGTGTGTGCTATCTGCCTCTCTCTGCCGTTGCTTTCTTCAGACTCTCTTGTGGCGCACAGCTGCTCTGCAAGTATAGGCGCTGGCAAATACACAAGCCCACACAGACATGCTATGCCGCACACATGCACAAGGTCTGGCTGCGGCGGCTCTCGTGAGGAGGGAGATCGGGAGACTGCGGTATTTCTTTTCGACATGTTGCAGGTGTGATGTTGGCGGCGCGCATCCAGTGGGTGTTTTTGTTGGGTGTGCCTTGGGCGAGTGCATATTGATTTGCGGCGAGTAGCTTTACATACCAACGTTTTCCTCTTGCTGTCCTTACGCCTATGGAGGATTCCCCGGCTGTGCGCAGTGATTTTTGTTGGAGCGGACGGCGGAGAAGCGGGTGCGAGGCAACAGTAACACGAACAGCTGGTGTCAGCGCGTGGGCTTTGCCAAGGGCCACTCTGCTCTCTTGTTTCCCGCTTGTTGCTTTGCCGGCTGTGGGCTTCGCTCGGTGTGTGCTGATGCGTGGCGAATAACACACCCGCCTTGACTCCTGCTGCTGTTGGTGGCGGCAGTCGCTGTGTGTTCCCGGTGCACTGGTTTTCCTTCTCGTTCCGTGTGTCTGTGTGCGTGAGTTGTTGTTGTGGGGACTGACTGCGGCGGGGATGATGATGCCACGCAATGTGGATGGGTGACGGTGTTACTGTTTCACCCATATTTTATTAGCCTGTTTTCTTCATTTCTTTTACACTCTTACGAAGAAAGTAAAAAAGCACTTAACGCTACTGTGAAATTCGAAGGCACTGAAAGGACCAACAGCACACACACCGCCCACACACACATATTTATATGCTCTCACGTGTTGCTGCAGTGGTGGCACCCCGCACACACAACCGTCGCCGCGTGACCGGATCCCGCGGAAGGAGGAGGGAAGGTGGAGAGAGTGAGCCGCCGAGGCCCAACATGTCCCGGCGTGTGTTTACTTCCGCGGTGCTGCTCCTCGTCGTCGTGATGATGTGCTGCGGCACTGGTAGAGCTGCGCAAGCTGAGGTGGAGCCGTCGTCCGATCCAAAGTTTCAATGGAAGGACATAAAGAGTGAGGGTGAAGGAGAAACAGTGAGTTCTCTACGTGTTCCCAGTCTTGTTGAGGTGAATGGTGATGTGTTTGCCGTTGCCGAGGCGCAGTTGAAGGATGAAAGCGGTTTTACTGGAATTGCCTCGGAGCTCCTAAAATTGAATAAAAAGCAAAAAAAGGAGTTGGATAAAACCAAACTGAAGACACAAGTACTGGAGGAATGTTCTGCCAATAAAGAAGGGACATGTAGTGCCGGTAGCGAAGAGAAATGCGGCTGCCGTGTGGCGGATCAGGAATCTGGTTCTCCGAACGAGAGGAAAGTAGATGTGAGCCGACCAACAACAGTTGTGAAGGGAAGTGATATTTACATGCTTGTTGGAAAAAACAGCCGGACAGCTGCCACTGGTGCTGGGAACAGTGGTGTAGATCACTGGGGACTCTTGCTGGTGAAGGGTCAGGTCAGTGATGCGGGAGAAGAGGAAAAAAGAATTTGTTGGAACGATACTCACGCTATTCCGTTGACTCCAGGCGACCAACACAAAAGCTTGACAGCACTGATTGGCGGCGGTGGACCGGGTGTCAAGATGAAGGACGGTACGCTTGTGTTGCCCGTGGAAGGCACTAAGGAGAATGGAAAGACCGTTTCGCTGATCATATACATAGCCACTGGGGGTGGGAATCTGTCGAAGGGGATGTCTGCCGATGACTGCGGTGATCCCTCCGTCGTGGAGTGGAAGGGAAAACTCATGATGATGACTGCGTGTGCTGATGGCCGCCGCAGGGTGTACGAGATCGGTGACAAGGGGGAGGAGTGGACGGAGGCACTCGGGACACTCTCGCGCGTGTGGGGCAACAAACAGGGAAATGAGAAGGGCGTTAGAAGCGGTTTCATCACAGCGAATATTGGCGGTGATGGAGATGATAAGAGGAATGTGATGCTCGTTACTCTGCCGGTCTACACCAAAAAAGAGATAAATGGAAACAACGATGGAAAGGACGTACTCCATCTTTGGATGACGGACAATACGCACATTGTTGATATTGGGCCGGTATCCGGTGATGATGACGCTGCCGCCAGCTCCCTGTTGTACAAAAGTGTTGAAAGTGGAGATCAAGGAAGTAAAGAGGAGAAGTTGATTGCACTGTACGAGAAGAAGGGCGGTGGGGAGACACCATCACCCGGTATGGTCTCTGTCCGCTTGACTGAGCAGCTGAAGCGGGTGAGGGAGGTGCTGACGACCTGGGAGGAAGTGGACGACCGTGTCTCCAAGCTGTGCCCTTCAACTGCTGCGAAGAATCCCTCAACTGACACTGCCTGCACTACTGGTAAGATCACGGATGGTCTGGTTGGCTTTTTGTCCGGCAACTTCTCTGATGACACATGGAAGGACGAGTACCTCGGGGTGAACGCCACAGTAAATAAAGGAAACGAATGGGGTGGCAACAGGGTATGCGGATGGAGTGACATTCCGGGGAGCATGGGCGGAGTGGCCCGTTGGCAGGCAGGGGGAGAATCAGCTGTATCTCTTTGCGAACTACAACTTCACTCTTGTGGCGACGGTGTCC